ATAAATAAAAATAAAATAAATTGGTGTATACATATATATTGTCGGTGATCATCAATTTCAAAAAGCGGGAACATTTTTATCAAATAAACAGAAAATGACCATCAACTAGAATCAATAACTTAACAACTAGATGCAGCAAGAAAAACCAGATTTAGTCATAAAAAGACCAACTTGGCAACACTAGCGAGGACCAACGCCGTATAGCGGAGACAATGCGCCGACTGGAGATGGGTATGACGCGCTCGGCACCGGAAAATCAACCGGAGGCTACCGAGATTAGCCGACAACAAGGTGCTGCGTTATCAGGTCAACACCGGAACACACCGGAAGCACCATCGATACACAACGCACAGCCTCACCCGTATACGCACGCGGAAGTTAATACGGAATACGGAGCGAGAATCCCCGCGGCACGGGAAACAACGGCCGCGGGCAACCACCACGCAAACCGAACCGTACACACCGATAACGCGTCGTATGCAAATAACTTCACCATCAATCCGCACACTTATACAACACACCAGTCGACACTTATACCGTATGACGAGATACGCACAGTGAGATACTCGCTGCCGGAGTTCCACGGAACGACACCCGAGGATCCGGTACGGTTTATTCATAAGGCCGAATCGATTTTGTATAAGACACAGATTGACCGGACAGGCTGGACGAGCATTATTGAACCGCAGCTTAAAGGTGCAGCCAGTACCTGGTGGAACACCATTAGGATACTGGACCTCACTTGGGACGAATTTCGTGTTGACTTTTTGCAAAAATTCAACAACATGAATATTCAGGCCCGGCTGCAGACAGAGATAGTGTCCGTCCGGCAAACACCAACACAGTCGCTAACGGAGTTTATTACACACAAAAACCAACTCGCGCGCCGCATCAATAACGGACCAATTCCGGTGCTAGCTGAACCGCAGCTAGTGCATACGATTGTCGGATTAACGCGCAGTGAATACCGTACGCACATACGACTGCAAAAACCAACCTCCTTCGCGGATCTCCGACAAATTGCGGGTATCATGGATACACCAGATGACCCACCACCGGAACCGCTACCGAAACCATCGTTTAAAAAAGGCGGACAGTCACATGCACCGTGCCTATCCCACCAGCCGCAAACACGGAACAGTATAGCTGGGAAACCGCTACCGCGCGATCCGTGCAAGCATTGTGGAGGGCCGCACTGGAACAGTGACTGCCCCGAAAAACCGTCGGTTTCGGGAAAAGCCAAGTGAGTCGGCGGACAGTTGTCCGCACCGCCGTCTCAACCACACACACTCACACATGTACCCAATCACCACCAATTATCGGCAATACCGACGGCGATATAACCATCAAACGCGCGTCGACACACTCGGCGTCATCACATATATCGCCCGTCCACAAAAAGTTTTCCACAAGTAGTAGGTCATCACCACCACACACAACGACCTCTACCGCGAAATCTTCAAGTGCGCCGTCGGAATATATGCGTAGCACAGAGGTAACCGAATCGGACGCCCTGGTCATGGCGGTGCAAACCGCCACCAAGGACACCGAAGTCGCGGTTAAGAACCAGTTATCCCGCTACACTATACATCCGACGTCGAAAAGTGTTAATCGAACATGCCCCGACAAAATTCCGACCCCAGCGGTTGAGCTCGAATTTAGGTCAGGCTTCGTAACAGCACTACTCGACTCCCAGGCACAAAAATCATATGTAAGTCCGAAAATTGCACACACATTTGGTACACCCAAGCACGGACAACCCACCCACGTACGAATGGCGGACGGACACACCACAACAACAAGTTAGGTCTTAACCACCCCCCTCCCGCTAATGGCCGTCCCGGTCCCTCGCCCTAGGTCAACTTCGTCCCTGACAACGAGACCAGCGGTGACAGCAGCAGTGGCGACGGCACCAGCAGCGACGAGAACAGCGGCGGCACCGGCAACACCCCAAACACCGAAGACGGAACAGCGGAATGCGAGGCAGCGCCGCCCAGATAGCAATTTTACGTTCTTAAAATGTCTTAGTAATGTTAAAAAGATAACCTTATAATTTCTATAATATTCCAGATAGGTTCTAAGCACCTTTTTTAATGTTTCTATAACATTTTCTTAGAGTTTTTTGGCCGCAAAAATGTTGTTCTACTAACATTATAAAATAACTATCACTATAATGTTAAACCTAACTTTTTTTGTTATTTTTATAACATTTTCAGGTGGTTCTAATTGTCTTTTTTAATGTTTATATAATATTTTCTTAGAGTTTTTTGGCCAATGAAATGTTGTTCTATTAACATTTTAACATTAATATTATTATCATGTTAAATACAACTTATCGCAACATTATTTAAATGTGTCACAATAGTATCAAAGTATGTTATAATAACATTACAATCTTTATTTTATAATCTCATTATATTTATAACTAGGGGTTCTAGCTCCTGCTCACCTCACTGGCCAACCCACCTTACTAAATATTTATACACTAATATAGTAATATATTTCAATACTATAACTGGTTTATGTAATGTAGATACATATAAAATTGATAATGTAAAACTGCTTAATGAATTTGTAAGTATAATGTAAGTATAATGAAGAAATTAGTACAACTAGAATAATAATGAAAATTAAAAATAATTAACAGCTCAATATATTATACTGTAGTCTTTATTGTTTATTTCCTAGACCGTCTTGGTCTACTAATAAAATTTATAATAATAATAAGAAGACGTATCATGTTAATATAATCAAATTTTCTTTTGAGCTGCAAGTCTGTAAGGAGCGTGTGAAAGCCAAATTCCTAATGGATCATCGATTTCTTTATCGGTGTGTGTTTTGTATTTTAGGTGTAGTCTTAATGCATCTGAAATAAATTTTTAATTTACAATAATTAATAACTTGTTTATTATGTAATCAAAAATATATTAACAGTGGCCTGAACATAGATATTTTAGTGAATATTATGGTAGCAATTACTAACAAGCAACAGTGGTATATTTTCAATATAGAATATTATGAAAAATTAATTTATGCTTACCTATGATCAGCCGGTAGCAAGCCAAATTTGAAAATGATTTTTTTTGTTTAAAACCATATAGTGAGTAGTTTACTAAAAATGAGTCATCAAACATACGGCCCATAATTCTCCGGACACTGTTTCTAATATCTTTCTTACCGACAAATAACGATATTTTACTAACCTACAAGTGAATGGTAATACAAAAGTTGTAATAAGCATTAAAACCATACTTTGAAATATTAAATAATTACCAACAACTTTCTTAAATCTTTGTCTTGGACTTTGTTATGCAATACTAATAGGTCTTCATCATTTTTTATAGGAAATAGAGTTTCTATGTCTAAATCGTCACCTACAAAAGTTGTTCCTGACGAGTTGTTCATAATTTTTTCAATATTTTCGTTGATCGAATGGCATAAAATCTTTAATGCTTGTACTTCATACTTCAGGAATGAGAAAGATGTAAGAGATATATTATAAAAATCTGCAAAACATTTAATATTGGTATATTTTAAATATTGAATAAATCTATATGATTTTTAGTTAGTTTAATGGTAACTAATAATATTTAATATAACAAACTAGTTTATTAACTTTAACAATTAACAAAAATAATGCCCACGGAAAAAATGAACATTACATAATATGATATTATTTAATAACTAAATTTAACAAATTGCATGATAAATCTTTAGTTTTTATTAAATATAAATTCAATATATCCATTAAAATAACAACTAACAGGCTGCACGAGAAGCCTACTATACAACAGAGTGAATTTCAGGTTAATATAAAAATAAATGTATAATTATTAATTATAAAAGTATTCAAGTGCACAACTTCAAAATTTCAATAAGTGAGTAATAAAAATTATATCCATTCAAATATTATGTGTTTCAGTATTAGAAAGCAAATATGGCCATTGGATTGGAATGTATTATTAGTAGTTCAAAATGTATAAAATTGTCAACTAAATATTTTATTTTACACTAAGCATTATAAGTATTCTTTTCTTTTAAATTTTTTTATTATGATATGAATAATTAATTATTGATTCAATATTCAACTTTAAATTCTTATATTAAAATGCCTATATACTCAAGACAAAAAAATAAGAATAAGAATTATACACTAATAATAAAAATATATAATTATTAATATTAATTATTAAGACAGGAAGACTGTCTAAACAAAATCATTTTTTATTGTACCTATAGGTAGTATTTTTGAATTTGAATGTAATATGCCCATTACAATAACCTATTCCACCAAATCCACAGGACACAAGAAACTTAATTTTATTTATTTTTTAAAACAGAATTGTATAATCTCATTGTTAATGGTAAGTAAATAAAAAATAACTAAAACGTTACCTGATATCATGCTTTGGTTTTCAACAGGATATTGTAGTTGGCGCTTAACACAATTATTTTTAACTGTTGAATTTTTTAGATTATTAAACTTGTTTGCAGTCTTAGATTCACCAGAATTATTTGTGTGATTTTTTTCAATATCAACTTCTGTGCTTACTCTCCATGGTCCACTGGGTGATGTCATAACAAAGACAGGGCTTGGAATAGATTTTGTAGGCGTTACTTTTAATGGAGATATGCTATCTAAAATTCATTAACACTTTACTATAGGTACTCGTCATATAAATTATTTAATAAATTTATAATACAATAATATTCAAGATAATAAGTATTTGATGTACTATAAACTATAATATATTGAATGTATTAATTATTTGTATTACCAAATTCCTTTTCTGAATTTTTTTTTGGTTTAGCAATCCATGTTTGATCTTTATCGGAATCATCAAAATCGCTAAGGATAGAACTATCATTATCAGAAACAGTAGAAATTTGATTTATGATAGATTGTGAATAAAATACATTTTCATCAATAGTATCTGAAATAAAAACAATTTTTACTTAAATACTGAAAAAAATATTACAAATAATAGAGCTTAAGTAGATTAAGTACCTTTTACAGGGTTATACTGTGGTGGGCAACTTGAAGAACTTTCATGCTGAAATTCTGAGTGAAGTTTCACTTTTTTAGATAACTTGTTTTTGGGAGATGCACTGCGTTTCAAATCATATTTTGGTACACCATTAAAATTTTCATCTTCGGTAGATGACAAATCTGATTTTATCATTGCTTTGGGCAATTTCGATTTAGCCTTATCTAACGAAGCTATAAAGAAAATATATAACGTAATTACTTAAATACACAAAGAGATTTTTTTTAAATATAAAATAATAGAAATACTAGTACTATCACTAACTATATGTTTTTCCTGACATTTTTCGAATGTTGTAAAAATAAAAATCATTCTTGTTAGGCTTTACTCGACTTTCGATTATTTTTTGAGAGTTTTTCTGATCTTTTGGCCAGGCACAAATATTTTTTTTTAACCATATATCAGGTACAACTGAGACTGTATTGTCTTCGGTGAAGTTAACAATATTCCACCCAAACATTATCTAATTTAATACAATCGAGAAATAAATTATTAACTTATTTTTACAATTTATAATATTTTAAATGTGTATCTAACTTGAGGGGCTGCAAACATTTATTTTCTGTTTGTCTTGCCAATAATATAGCATTATAGCAATAATGTATTGTGTACCTATACCTATTTCCACAATTGTGAGTAGGTACCTGGTTTAATTTAGAGAAAATTTACTCATTAAATACATTTTTATGGAAGAATATTTTCTGAGCATTGACTATATAGTTTTTTAATATTTTAATTTTTGAAAAAGTAATGGTTGAAAATGATAATAGAAATAAAGTATTCAAATTTAAACGTGCTTATCTTGATAAAATTTTTTTTTAATTTAAAAACTATCTATCAATGTACAGAAAACAGTGTTACTTATTAAATGTAAGCTAATCATAAGTTACTTTCTAAACAGAACCATAGTCTTAATATTATATTATGCGAAAAATTAACTTAGTAAACAAATGTTAGTGTTGAGGGACTTAAATTTTAAATAATAACCTAATTGAAAAAAAAAATTGTTTTCAATTAGATGTCAGTATGTATTACTGGCATGGCTATATATTTACTCTCATGAACAAATATCATCATTTTTTTTTTAATGTCATGTTCAGTCCAGCATTTAATTTTATCAGACAGTTTTTGTACTACAAATATATCTAATATTGTTGAGTTAATGGGGGTTTCATAAAATGCTGATTTTATTTTAAATTTTTGACCAATTATTATAATGTTACCGTCATCTCTTAAACAAAAATTTAAGCATTTTACGATATCTTTGTTTTTGGTTAAAATATAACTATTTTTTTCATCTTGAATTTTAATTTTAATAGTTTTATATAGAAGAGTATAATATTCAATGCCATTTAAATGCTCTGGTAATGGACCATTAGTATGCTGATTTTTTAGTACTGGTTTTTCTTCTAGCAATTGTTTAATTTTACCTTTATAACCATTATTCAAATTTATAAAATATTTTTCATTATACCTATTAATTACTTGCTGTAAAGGTTTGTCATGTTTTCTCAAAAATGACTTGAGCTCTTTCATGAAGTTTTCAAAAACAAAAGTAGAACAGTTATCTAAGGGGCCATACCTTAAATAATCATCACAGATATGGAGTAGGCCATGAACATTATGTGAAACAAATTGTTGGCCATAAATTTTTTGAAAGCTCATTACAAAAAAATCTAGTAGCTCCTTAGCAAAATCAACAAGAAAACTACAATTTGGGCTCAGAAGAATAAGCATGGCAATATTAAGTGTCATAAAATTTGTATAACATGCTTCAGTAATTATATTTTTTAAAACAATTGGTCCAGTATATAACAAAAAAAACCGATGCTCGGTGGCTTTCCATCTAGAGAGTTCTTGTATACTTCTTCCCTTCCTAACAAAATCAGAAGTAATGTAAGAATTAAGTTTCAAAATTAAGTTTGATAATTCATCAATTTTCCTTGCTCGAATACGTATATTTAATGGACCCTTATTCACCCAAAGCATTAACAATTTCTTCATAACACCAATATTAACAAGGTGTAAATAATCAAGGCTAAATGAATAAACAGCATCGAAATTAGGCAACTCTGCTAAATTTGAAATTGTATCATACACGTGAAAATCTTCATCTAAAGTGTTAATATAGGAATTATGATCCCTACTAGTCGACATAACTCGTGTATATGGGAAACATACTCTATGATCTATATATTCACCTTCAATTTTACATCTAGTACAAGAAGAAAATCCACTATGCCCTTTGACTTTCAATATAAAACTTTTAGCAGGGGAATCACAACAAAAAACATTAATTATGACATTAATTTTAACAGAATTTATCAAAATACCATTGGATGTAAGTTCTTTAGCTTCTTCGACAAAATCTAATAGAAAATCATTGCTACAATGTGGTTTTTCTGTACCATAATAAAGTCCCACTAAAAAGACTTGTTTTGGTAATGGAGACTCAACTTCTATGTAAGCTAAAATCGGCCAAAACTGATTACTACTACTTTTGGAAATAGGTAATCCATCTATACCAATTGCAATTTTTACTTCATCAACATTTGAGGGTAAATTCAATTTAATACCATTAGCTAATCCAAAATGATGGTAGAGACCAGGTTCAACTTTGCGAATATGTTTTGAAGCACTAGAAGGTGTTTTTAATATGGTCCGACAGTCAGCGGGTAGATAATTAAAACATTCATGTTTCTTTAATCCTTTTAATAAACCATTAACAGCATTATGTGGTATATTATACTCAACAGCCCAGGATGCTAAAAAATTTTGAATAGAATAATCTGGGTAATGATCTGAAGTATTATCAGAAGAATGAGATGGAGTAACTGGTTTTGAAATTATTGAAGAACTTAAATAAGTTGATTGTTCTGGGTGAGTCACCAGATTTGAATGATCATATGATAATGACGAGGATAATGATGAAAATAAAACACTTGATTCGCCAATTTCAACTGCACTACTGCAAGGTATACAATTTGGCCCTAATTGCTGTTTTGTTTGATCAGTAGTACTAACTTGAGTATTTATATTTAAATTATCTCTCGAAGCTGAATGAGAATACACATTGTGAAGAATATTTATTTCTTCCCTAATTTTCCTTCTTTTAGTTCTCTCACTTTCACTCATTATTTTAGTTATAGATTAGATATGAATAGAATTTGTAAGAAATTACATAGGTATTAGTACAATTATTAGGTAGGTATTATATTATACTACTTACCTATACCTAGGTATTTCATATAATTACTAAGTCGTAAATGTCATAAGTTAAACGAGTAAAATTCAACCACATAAATTATTAAAGCATATAAATGTCCATAAAATAAAAAAATAAAATGTACTAAAATAAATAAACATATAATATAGACATATAGTATATATATTATTATACAGGTAGGTTAGATATATATTATAGGCCTAGGTAGTAGGTACCTATAATATTAAATAATAAACATACCTACTTATTGTCCATGCACCTAATATAATAATTATTATATATCACCTGATGTAAGTAGTCGCACTGTTGTTGGTATATGAATATGAACGATGCAATCGACTCACAATCGACGACAATGTCTGCTTACGGCGAATAAGTTGTAATAAAATTTGTAATAAAATAAACAGACTTCAGTCTCAAAAAAAAACGTGGTTAGAAGTTCAACGACATTCAACGTGACAAGTGACAACACTGACAACGTATAACTGCACCGTCGTACAGCACGCAGAAAACAGAAGGAACTCTAGTAGTCAAAAGTCATATTGTCGCTGGACGGAGCCACGGAGGTCGGAGACGCGGTTTAACGGTTAGATAAAGAAAAACAACTGCAAGTCTGCAAATCAAAAACGGACAAAATAATCACGTGATCCCGTGATGGCTGGCGGCTGCCAAGCTGCCAACAGCCAGCGGCTCTGCGGCAGAAAATTCAGCACAACGTGCGGTTTAAAACTATTAATTAAATAATTAATAATTTAATTTAATAGTATTAAAACTTATAAGTAAACTGGATCCTGGGCGCTAGTATGGCGCATGCAATCGCTTATGCACTGTAGTTAAGTGTATAACTCAACACTATAATCCATAATACAATATAACATTATCGAAAGAAAAATTAGTTTTCGATAATTATTATTAATATTAAAGTATCCATTGTGTAAAATTAAATATTTAATACTTCTTGCATTTATATACTTACCTTCACAACCACATAGGTACCACAATATAATATGTTTATCCACTAACAAATAATAAATCTTACCATTTATCTAAAAATATTATTTCAATAATATAAATTCATAATAATATCTACATAATATTATCACTATTTTTAAGTAAAAATTAATAAAACAATTTATTCTTACCTTATGTGTAGGTGGAACAGTTTTTCTGAGTTTTGTCATTTTGAATTTTCCATTATAATTAAAATTGTTTTATTTTCGAAAAACCTTTCGAATTGTTGTAGAAAATTTAATAATTATAGTAAACACATAATAGGTAATAATTATGAATAATGAAAGCACAAACACAAACATGATTATTATTATTTTATCAATATCACGAATAAGTGAATTATGAATTATGATTGTCAATACTCAGTTAAATGTATTACTATTGGTTATTAAACACGGATCACAGTTTGATAGACCATATTCAATAAATAGGTACTATAATATTAATAATAATAAACCATAAGTGTATTATAAAAAAAAAAATATACTAGTGATCCTACCAAGTATGTTCTTAAGAGAGCCTTAATATAAAAACTTTAACGTAAGTAGGAACTAGGAATGCCTCTTTTGAAAATTACGATTTCCTGATAGAACTATCCATCACTAACCGTAGTAATGTAGTATCGTATGATTATATAATAATATGTATAACCTTATAAGTTCTTTATAGAACTTAAAATCTTTATTTGGTCTAAAAATACGGGATCATTATTATAGCAATTAATTTGTCTGATACTCGATGACTCAATAATTAATAGCATACATTTTGACATTTTGTTAATAATTTTTAACCTATATAATGATGTTTTTTTTTGGGAAAATATTCATGTTTTGAACCAGTATGAAAAATATTAATTACGATTTATTGCTAAATAAAAATGTATATAATATACATATAAAAGTATTTTCATATAAATTGAAAAATATATCATTTTCTTTGCTTATTACTATATTGAAGGCTACAAATGTAGAACCTATAAATAGTTATTTCAATTAAAATAATATTATTTTAGTCATTTGGACGACGATCGCCGATTTCGTGAAACGGGTGAAACTGACGCCTGCCGCCAGACAGTTTCGATATAATATTAATATAATATTATCATTGGAATATTATCAGTGGTAGGCAACTGATTTTGTTAAATGACAAAAATACACAATTATTGACATCTATTATAATCGTATTTTGTGTACATTGATTACCCACACACACGCGCGAATACT